TATTTTCTTTTAAAATTTGTTACCTCACCAGCCAGTTACCACATTCCTTTGTGGTGCACCCCGGCTAAGAAAAATCCTGGATCCGCCCCTGTACCAGTGGTCCTTGCGTTTTAGTGAGAAATCCTTGAATGCTTTAGGCTACCACAAAAATTCAACATTCTCCTACAGAAGGTTCGAGGGGAGGCAATGAGAATAGCAGGGAAAAATTTTTCTTAGTCTCAAAAAGCTAATATGGTGATACCAGAATTTATTAATAAGTGATTGTTATTTGAAGTACCTAACAATGCAAGTTATTCCGGCCCAGTCTAGAAAATTTTGAAAGAAAAAAAAGCTAAAGTCCGCATGCAGTCCAAGTGGCCCATCAGGCCGGAACTTATCCTGGTTTCTGTAGCATGAAGCGACTAGGAATATTTCTACTCACCCCTGGATGGGATGCTACTCCATCACAGGGTTACCCCCAGCATTAAATTCGCCGGTACCCATTTGAACACCTGGGTGGAGAGAGGCACTGTGAGAGTAAACTGTCTTGCCCAAGAACACAACGAAATGTCCCCGGCCAGAGCTCAAACCCGGACCGCTCGATCCGGAGTCGAGCTCACTAAGCATGAGGCCACCGCACCTCCACAGAAAATAAGTTATTGATGATTGCTGAGTTATCATGAAAAGTTCCGAAAAGAAAAGTTCTGAGGTCTGTATCAGAATTTTAAGGGTTGTTTCTGTGTTTGTAGGTATTTTGAGAAACAGTTTCAATTAGCTGAAGAAACCAAGCTACCAATGTTTCTACATTCAAGAAGTGCACATCAGGATTTCATTGGTAGGTGAACAGGCATATATCAGTCACAAGAAACCGAGGGAAAATATCTTGCATGTAATATGCCGACGTGACTATAGCTTGTAACTTACATTGCCTTAGAAAACGCTCCGCTGATTTTTCCGCGTCCTTACTGATACGATAGAGTTCAGTGGTACGATGTCTACGAATCAGTGTGGACGAGAGGCGAAAAAAACGCGTTGTTGTAAACGATTTAGCGTGGATGGGATCTTAAACTCACGGTTACTTTATGTAACATGTCGAATTATTCTCGCATTTTGATTGGTTATTACTTATGATCTATTGGAAGACAGACGGGTAGATGACGTCATTGGCAACTTTTGTTTATTTTTTTATGAAACAAGAAGATTTCATGTTGCCGTGCGTCTGTTCAGCAATGGATCGCAGATGACGTCACAATATAACGGCGTGTGTAACATTTTTGTTTTTAACACATTTAGATGTCATCTTTGATCGTATTACAGAAGAGACGCACGGCAACATGGAGTCTACTTGTTAAATAGAGCAACTTGTCTCCAAATTTAGTCTCTGTCGCTCTCTTCTTTAATTCCTTTTCAGTTTAATAAGCAAAGTGTGAACTTAACGTTTTCTCCCATATTTCTGCCTCGGTCTTTTGGACGCCTTTCTGTTGCCCGGTCAGAGTCCTATTAAACTAAGAATCGAGACCGTTCTTTCATTTCTGCGACATGTGGACGCGTTTACTTCAGCTTTCAAACCAATTTATGTTATTATCGGTCAAGCATTTAGAAGGAACAAAAACCTTCCATCTCTCTGCCACTCACGAACTGCTCTTTACCAAATGTATCATTTTTCAGCGTGTTTCTTTCAGATATCATCAGAAGAAACAGGGATAGGTTTGTTGGTGGTGTGGTAAGTGGTGTCATTTTGTTTCTTGCATCATATAACGGGTCAAGTGTCCACTACAGTCGAACCTCCACTAACGGCCACCTCTCTACAACGGCCACTTTTTTTATCCCGGCGGACAGTCCATGCATTCACTCTTATTTTAACTTCTCTACAAAGGCCACCTCTCCACAACGGCAACGCGTCCCGCTACCAAAATAACCTCTTCACACCGCCCAGTTAACAGTTACTGACGAATGGTGTATACAAAGCCCCATTTTGTATTGGAAAAGGTCGCCAAACTTGATACGTACAACGCTTCGCTGGTCCCTGTTTCTGTTTAGTTTCTGTTTTATTGATACAATTTGATTGCGTTACGTACAGTTATTTTTGTTTAAATAAGCATTTTTTAAGAAGGCAAAATGTTGCACCTCCGAAAAAGCAGGTGTCATGTTACACTCCTACCTCCCCATAACGGCCACCTCTTTACAACGGCCACTCTCCTCTGTCCCCAAGGTGGCCGTTTTGGAGAGGTTCGACTGTAATTTGTTTATTCCATCATAGTTTGTTTCAACGAGGTAGCCTTAAAAACTTCCGTAATTAATAGTTAATATGTATTTTATCTTGTTTACTCGCACGCTTTTTTTTACAACTTTGAATTCAAATTATCGTTGTTTGTTATTTAAACTTGCTTTTACTTGTTTCTTTTTTTTTTATAACCTTATTAGACCCTTATTGTGGTTGGCGGTGAGATTGGTGCTGGCAAATTTGAGAGCTGTGTTTTACTTAATGTCTAAACATATTGTGATACAGCTCCTTAACTTTGCATTTCGTTTTTAGGCTCACTGCTTCACTGGCACGAAGGAAGAGGCGTCTGACTATCTGGATCAGGGTTTATATATCGGCATTACAGGGTGGTGAGTGTGTTACGAAATATCAATAACGCTAAAAATTAAATTTGTAGAAAATGTTGTGAGGTAGTGGATTAACAAACGATTATTATTTTCTACTTGTCGTTGTAGCTCGTTGAAAACTGAAGACAACATTGAAGTCATGAAAACAATTCCTTCCGAGAAGTTACTGCTCGAAACAGGTGAATTTTTTTAAACAAAAGATTGTTTGTTTTCAACGCAATTGGAGCGCGCGCGTGATTTCGTATGTCTTGACACTAAATTGGAACTGTTTTCATGTTTCCTACAGCCGATACTTAGATGTTTTTGAAAGAATTTATGACAATGGCATCCTAGGCTCCTAGATTACCGTATAAACCCGCTTGTAAGAACCTAGTGGTTTAAGAACCTGCTGGCAGAAATTTGCAATTTTAATACCCAAAAATATAAGAACCTGTTTAGCCAAGCAAGATCAAGCAGGTTCTTATATGTTGGTTACACTTCAATTTTGACCACATTTTACTCAAGGAGTGTAACTTTGAGATTTAAAATTTATATTGCGAGAAAATAGATAATACAGTTGTGAATAAATACTGTATATTCAAGGACCAGTCCGACGTTTATTTATTTTTTCTCAGTGATAATCAACAACTATGTCTCTTTCATAGAAATTAAGTACCTACTTAGCCTAAATTGCCAGCAAGTACCCCAAAATACAAAAATCTATTTTGCCAGACTTCAAAAATGTAGGTTCTTACTTGCGGGTTCTTACTGTATTTCTCTTTGGCGACGTCCTATTGTCGAGTCACCTATGACGGCAGCTTTCTGAAGTTATCGAGTAATGAAAAAATCGGAAGAAAGCGCTTGGGTCCTAGCCTATCAGAGTGGTACCTCTTTTAACTTTTTTCATCGTGCAAGAGTTACACTTTTGTTCATTTCTTTTCTCTCTTGCAAACCATCTAGATGCACCTTGGTGTGACATTCGTCCAACTCACGCCGGCTTTAAGCACGTAAAGACAAAGTTTGAAAGCAGAAAAAAAGAGAAGTGGGAAGCTGGACTTTGTGTGAAGGGACGCAATGAGCCTGCAAACATCATGTAAGTACCACAGGCTTCCCAGTCTCGAACGTGACCGAGAGGTGTGACGAGGAGGTAACCAGGAAGATTTTAGTCCAGTTCCTGTTTGTGTCACGCGTCTGTGTCTGACGCTGTCGGTGTCACGGTCTCTTCCGAAGCCGTAGTGTTGCTTGACACTGAGATCGGAATGAGATTTAAATTCTCTTCAAATTTCAAGAACTCTCTCTTCCATGCAATTCCATTTATTTTCAAATGAATGTATTTTGGACTCCTGACTTTGCTCAATTTCATGAGAACTCATGTTTCTTCGATTTCTTTTCCTCTCTACAATTTTTTCGTTTACTTTATTTTATTTTTGCAGTCAAGTGCTAGAAGTTGTCGCAGGAAGCCGAGGAGAAGATGTGCATTCACTCGCTGAAACCGTTTACGAAAATACACTAAAATTGTTTTTCAGATAGCAGTAGCAGTAGGTGTTATTTACACACAAATTATTATGTTTACTTCGTGGAATGTACGGCTAGATATGATTCGCATATTGTGAAAATATTAAACACAATGTGACTGCGTATGAGGTCTGTTGAAAACACAGTTGAAGCAATGTGGACAGACAGATATATTTATTTATGTGTCAATCAACTCTTCCTGCCGACTGCAAATGACTCAATAATTTACATTTACGAGCTGCAATAATCTTGAGATCACACTCGTACATGCCATGATTTAAGATTTTAAGTCTCGCCATGCACGATTGCAGAAACAAGTAACAAGACAAGAGAGTAATAACGTGAATTTCTCTCAAAACGCGAGATAAAGTAAATCTACTCTAGCTCATAAAACTAATTAGAAATACAATGGGTTTATAATGAACTACCGTATATCAAAACTAATTATAATAAAATAGATTTCCTGATACTAACTAATTAAGATTCATAAAAATTCGTAAAAAAATTCTTATTTGATTTGAATATTTCTGAGCAAAAGGAGAGAATAGTTGAAAAATATTATGCCTTTGCCTAACGTTTTTGATGGTGATAATTTTGGTATTAAAGTGTCTTATAAGAAAGTTGAATTAAGCGTATAAAGAATATATCATCACTCGCGCGACTTTCAAAGCCACCCCCCCCCGCCCCCGATCAACAGATTTGAGCCGTCAATCTTACTTTCTTGATCAGCAGCGTTGCTAGGTAGCATGGCTTCTCACCTATGACGTCACCTATCGCATAGGTGTAGGTATCGTGATTGTTTTATAGTTTCCGGGCATAGTTAAAACTGTAAAACAATAATGTCTGGACGCAATCTAACGTGTAATTTTTCACAGAAGGCAAATGTACGTAATTACGCATTATATGATAAGCATGTCATTGAGGTTTCTTGTGTCTTGTTATCAACGGGAAAGAGCTTTGTTCCCATGAAACGGCGGAGACTCGTCGTTGTCGCTCGGATTCTGGCGATCTCCAATCGATTTAGGTTTCGTGCTCCTTCGACAGCTCACGAACAAGAACAGTGAACAAAGGGTAAAAAATATCGAGCCACTCAGAACTAAGATCCAAATACCCTCCACTGAAATAGACAAAAACAGAAAAGAAAGTGATACAAAGCAACGAATTAGCAAAATCACAGAAGATGCTTGGTTCATCATACGTAAAACAAAACTAGTGAGCGGCCATTCAAATGAAAGCCTTTGAGCAGTACTTTTCATGTGGTACTGTTTGGAAGTTTCAAAGCCTGTGGATGACACACCCTAGCGAGTGACCATTCAACTGACTGCATGAAAACAGAAGCATATCACCCTCTAGGTGATATGTTTCTGATGAAAACTATGGAACAATTGCTTTACAAGGCCCTGTTTATTGTGCCATGCAAAATGGTGCGAACTTTAAATCGGTTTGTGCTTCAAACCCAAATGTTAGACCCACAAGATTCACTTGAAGGGCGCAAGAATACCTTTTCTATGACAGTGCTGTTAATTTCACGTACCTGAACACTGCTTGTACATTTGAACAAACGAGTCACAATAAGCCTGGAATTCAGCGCTACCATGTCCTGTGAGAAAGGTCTGAACTTTGGTATCGTCTAAAGTGAACAGGCCTCCTATAGTGCAAGAGAATACGGATCAGTACGAGATAAGTTTCATGGAACAACTTTAGAAAGGCTAACACTTGAATGTCGAAATTTATTGCTTTCGGGATCCTTAGGCCCCGTCCACAACTACGCCGGAGGACTTGAAAACGAAACTTTCTTTCTCCGATTAGGTCTTTCGTCTACACTAATTCGTCACGAAAACGGAGCTTTTTCCAAAACGCTGTTCAAACTGCTGGAATTTGAAATGCAGGCTTCGCGTTTTAGTGTGGACAGAAAACATTTTGAATTAAAACGAAGCTTTTCGAAATCGATGAGGTTCAGATAATCATGATATTTCCCTCCCCGAGTTTTACTCAAACACAAATCCAAAATGACCGGTGATTGTTGCGTGTTCAAATTTCTTCAGCGTAGTGTGGACGGAAAACATTTGATGCGTTTTCGGAGTGAAACCTCCGTTTTCAAATTCCTACGCCGTAGGGTAGACACGGCCTTAGTTTTGCATTACTTCGTTAAATATGTAAAGTAAATTTTACCTGGCCAGCAGAAGCCTCTTTTAGTGCTAAGAACAGATCTGCAATAACAAGTATAACAAGGAATTAGAATGCCCGTGCTTTAGCGAGAATCACAGGTCCTCGTCCATTACCTAGCTTACAGTACAAGCTAATTAAGGATCTATATACGTCATATTACGTATCAAGCAAGGTCGCGTCATTCACCTGACGCCATTTATCCACACAACCACGTGACCACTAGGACACCATACGCCTCCATATTTGATGCAGGACTTGCAGCCCATGAAGCACGTCTCCTGAGGCATGTCGGGAGCACGGCAATATTTATGAAGACGCCCTGCAACAGGAAAATAAAAGTTATAGCTCTTTTTATACAATGACTTTATTATGTCAGTCTCCGTTATTACACACGCTGTGATTGGCCAATTTAGCGTGCCTTATTCTATATTGTACGATCTGCTAAAATTTGAATTTGCTGTCAAAATGTCCGGTGATCTATCGTCAGGTTTTCATTATGGCAAATAACAGCGTAAGATATCTCTGTTTTCTTAAAATTTTGACCACACGGTACGTGTTAACGACTTAGCAATAATTTCAAATGGGCTCGTTTGGCCGTTGACGTACGTCGGCGATTTTAAGCCGTTGCGTGTGAATGACTTGAGATATGGTTTGTCTAGCAGTAGAGATATGATAAATGTCTCTCTAACCTGGTCTTCTCGGTCCGTACTGTAAGTTACGGACCCTCGTTTTTCCCCTTTGATCCATGGCCTGCGTTCTTCGGGCCGGTGCCATAAATGTAAAGGGAAAAAACTCGATCCGTAAGTTACAGCACGCGACCTCGAACTCGGTTAGTAGAAGAGGTTTTGAGGTAAATGCGAGCGCTTTGATTGGTTTTTCTAGGTCGGGGTTTTGCCATACGGACCGTTTCCATGGAGACGGGCATAAGCCGTGTATTTTTTGTTTTCAAAAGGCGGTAAACTCAAATTCGAGTGCCATATAATAAACTTTTTACTAGCCAAGCTTGCTCGCGCCGTACTGCCACGACTTGGTGCCAATAATCCCCAGTGACTCGATAAGTAAGGGATTAGTAATAAGAAGAGGATGCCAATTTGTTAAAATGGTCTCGAATGGTACGATAAAAATATAGAATCAGCTCGGTTTGAAGCGTTCAACACTTTAGAAAACGCAAATGCAGGGAAGAAACTACTAAAATTAATGTCGGTACAATCTTGGAAAATAAAAGTTACCTTTAACTGTATTATTTACACGGATAGGATTGCCTGAAACATGAAAATGACATT